ACAGTGGGACCTGCCTTTAGGTGGGACCTTATCAACCAACACAACAGGACACACAAAACCCTTCAAGCAATGCTGGAAAACAACAGAAAAAGAGAGTCTATTTCTCAAAGCATCCTATATGAAGAATCACACACAGCTGTATTAGTTGGCTCTGCATTAATTCTTTGGCTGGGATTTACCCAGATGCTCAACTGTTTGTTTATTGCTGGCACAAAGCAGAGCAGCAGGAGTGTGTGTTTCAGTGAGTAAGAAAACATCATGATCAAAATAATGTAAGCATTTGATTATAGAAAAATACTAATAAGAATCATCATAGAATGGTCTGAGTTGGAAGGGACCTTAAAGATCATCTATTTCCAACCCAACTTGGACTTGAACTCCCAGTCACCACGGGTATCTTCAGTGGCAAAAAGAGAAGAAGGAATCAAGATGTCAAAAAATAAGGAGAACAGAGTATCAAAAAGAACCCAAGAAACAGTGATGTCTTTAAAATCAAGTATCCAAAGCTGAAAGTTGAGTGGGAGAATGGTCTCTTCCTTCAGTGCTATTTCAATGAGCTCATCTCACTGTGGGATGGTGGAACCACTTCATCCTTGGGGGCTCTGGACCCCCAAGTGAATTCAAATGCAGGAAGAAGAAATCAGAGGAGCAAGAAAATGGTGCTGTTGCACTGCTCAATTCCTCTGCTAGAAACCCAACCTGTTATCCTATTAAACTAAAAGCAAGTTTTATTTTTAGCTGGAGAGTGTGATTTAAAGAGAGATATTTCTTATATGAAAGGAAGCTGCAAGGGAGAGGTGCATTGTGGGGAATTTCAGGCTCCTTCCAGCCTTGCTGGTGTCAAAAGTTAAAATGAATTCCCAAGCCAGAAGTGCTAAAGAGAGATCTGCAGCTTGAAATACTTGGCTAGGGACAGCCCCCACTTCAACTTGAGGGTGTGAGGAGCAGTTTGTGAAATGGAACAAAGCAATCCCACAAAACCACCCTGTTCCTCAGCAGAAGGCCCAGGGGTTCAGTGTGATGGGCAGGGCATTGCCATGGGGTAGGGAGCCAGAGCTTCCAGGGGCTCTCACAGACTGGTTTGGGTTGGAAGGGACCTTAAAGATCATTTAGATCCAGCCCCCTGCATATGCAGGGACACCTCCCACCAGCCCAGGTTGCTCCAAGCCCCATCCAACCTGCCCTTCAACACTGCCAGGGATGGGGCAGCCACAGCTTCCCTGGGCAACCTGGGCCAGGCTCTCACCACCCTCACACCAAAGAATTCCCTCCTCATCTCCAACCTCAATCTCCCTCTCCCACTTTTCATCCATCCCCCTCATCCCATCCCT